TTACTCTAATTGCAGTTCTAACCTTAATAATATACACTTAACAACTGGGTCTAATAAGAGAAGAAAAGAGAGACGGAAATCAAATCCCATTCAGCATACATTTTCTCATAATCCTTTTTCGTTGTAGAGAATTCTCTTACAGTGGGCTGGTTTCTTAAAGGATTTAGAGAGATCATGCTCAGCTTCTCTTTGGGAGCTGAAAGTAGAACTGAATTTAATCTTATCACAGGTCATTGTAGAGTTTTTTTTTTTTTGGGATTGTATTCCTTGTCAGATCAGACTCAGAAATAGATTAATAATAATAATTCTTATACATCAATGTTGTAACTGATTCTATCTGTCAAATAAATGAGCATTCTGTCATCATTACTCACCCTGTCATCTCAGACCTGTATGAAATGAATCTAAAGAAGAAGAAAAAAATCTATATTATTGGAACCCATTGACTCTCATTGTATGGATGAAAAAAATCTATCAGACATTTTTCAAAATATCTTCTGTTCCACAGAAGAAAGTCATACAGGTTTGGAACGACATGAAGGTGAGTAAATGACAGAATTTAGGGTGAACTATGCCTTCAACACAAGTCATTTTGGATAAGTGTCGGTTAATAATATCAAGTAACTGACAGCTGTAAGAAGCACTAAACATGCATATATTAAATACTCCCTGATGTATAGAACCTCTCAGTTGAACTCAATGGGCTCTGACACAGTCAATGAGAGACATTTAAGGAACTATTTAAAGGAATCACAGGAGAGACTGACTCTTGAGTTTTATCAGATCAGAGAGTTTTGGAGATTCGCTGAGATTTCGAGTTTGGAGAGAAACCAATAAGAGAGAGCTTGCTAAGCTCCTTGTTCTCACCTTCATTTGACTTATTCCACCATAATAAACTCTGAAGATCCAGGTCATTCAACTTTAATGTCTTTTGGATTGATTGAAATAGAGCTATGCTTCAAGTTCTTGTTCAGTTTTCCACATCTATCATCAAAAAAAAAAAAAAAAAAAAAAAAAACATTTTAAAGTTTTTTATAATACAAATAAAACCTCCAAATCTATAATGTCTGATGCAGCTTTAGTTTTAGCTTCTCTCTCTGTATGCCAGCGGGTCTCTGCTGCCTGATTTATGGACGGCCAGCAAGCACATCCCGCCCCAAGGACAAATCAAGAGACAGCTTCAGATGTCAGGCTATAAAGCAGCTGCTGACTGGGTTCTTATTCAGCAATTGCCGCTACCCCACTTAATTCACTGGCGTTTATTTAAAGCACAAAGAGAGACCATCAAAAATTGAAACAAGAAATTTTGATGGACATGGCGCTCATTGTTTAAGGTGACAGATACAAATGTTGCACTGTGTCAATCATTGATCATCTCAATGTGATTTGAAGAAAAAAAAACCTTAAGGTGAATATATATATATATGTATATGATTTTTATACATACATTTATTTTTATTCCGCTTTTTTATTTCGTTGAGAAAAAAAAGTTTTTAAATGTTTTAAAGCTCATAACATTTTTTAGATGTTCATGTCCACATGCTACATTATAGCAAAACATAGTTTTAAGAAGTAGTTATATCGATTTAGCAGTATTGTGGCACTATTGTATTATATTGGCAAAAAACTAAAACAAAATAGTTTTATATTAGTTTGAATTTTACCTGTCAACATGTCAATAATGTCACTCAAAGTATAAATGCACATATATTTGCTTAAATAGACAAGCTTGATTTGCTTGTATCATTGGAAAATGTAAACTATATTATCACCCAACTCTGCTAAATGCAGCATGAATATAAGATATTATAAACATTACTATCATGATTTTCTATTAAAATAAAAGCTGCTTTTTTGAGTATTGTGAAAAGCGCTTCACAAATACATTTGACTTGCCTTGGCATATGAGCAATCAACTATGTCAGGACAAGAAATCAAATAAAAAAAATCAAGTAAAATAATAAATACAACAAACACAGTCATAAAATTGAAATGCATTTTCCCACATTTCAGACAGGATCACTGACAAAAGCTCCAAACCAACCTGCGGCAAAAGCTGCAATGCTAATGAGCTCATTCAGGCGAAAAATTAACTTTTTAAATCATTGTTTACACAGCGTGAGTCAAATAAAGTGAAAATGGCAACGCAGTCAAGTGTGCACATGTCCAACTCAGCAATAAGTATTAAACTTCTCTCTTTGGATAGCTCAAGCAATACCGAGCTGATGACTCAGATGCCGTGTGCTCTGTTCACTCATAAGCGCATTGTAATTTGTTTTTGATGTGTGTTACATTAGTCAGAAACAAACAGAAACCACCGCAATCACAATGCTGAGAGGCTTCTCTTGACAGCTTGTCGGCCTGATCTATGATGTCACTTATAACAACGCTGTGGGGACATAGTAAGGTGCACGTCCTTCTTCATTATTAAAATGAATCTCTCCTCCGCAGCCATGCAGAGCCAGTTCTGGCGCTGTGAAATGGAGAGGCAGGAGCTCTGATCATTTTTGAAAGAATCCCTTCTCCTGACTCCTAAATAATGGCATGAATATTTCGGTGTGGAAGCCTCTAACTTTGCACTTGAAATCATGGCAAGCCTGCAATTTTAAAGTCGGCCCTTTTCAATTATTCAAATATCATTCCAGTAACAATATTTTTCCATCACCAGGCCATTTAGCCAGGTAGCGAAGGAAGGATTTTTCACCCCATTCTCTTCAAAAAGCACTCATCTCTGCTGTGTATGAAGAGAATATATTTATGTCTAAATCTGGGACAGTTGCATGGATTTCAAAAATGAACAGAGGAAAGAGGAATATCGTCACTCGCTTTTCTTTGTCGGAGAGTATAAATGCAATCATGTCCATTTATACCATATAGATCAGATTATTATTACTTTTAATGTTAAAGGGATACTCCACCCAAAAATGAAAATTCTGTCATCTTTACTCACCCTCAAGTTGTTGCAAACCCGTATTACACAATAACACAAAGGAAGATATTTTGAAGAACGATTGGAACCAAACAGTTGTTTGGCACCATTGACTTCCATAGTAAAAAAAAAAATACTATGGAAGTCAATGGTGCCAAAGTTCCAATCGTTCTTCAAAATATCTTCCTTTGTGTTCAGCAGAAGAAAGAAACTCAGGGTTGCAACAACTTGAGGGTGAGTAAATGATGACAGAATTTTCATTTTTGGGTGGAGTATCCCTTTAAAGTTGCTCCTAACTAATCCTAATATTGGGGTACAATAATGTCCCCCTCAATGTCTATGGTAGTTTACAGTCCTGCAAGCAGTTAATAATGACACTACATAATCAAACAATTCCACCAAATTTCTCTTTTTATCATAGTATAGTAGTATTATATCATGTTTTCATCGCTCTTTGGCTTTTAACCCCATTGCTTGCAACGGACAAGATTGTTCCCAGAAAAGCCCTTGATGGGTTTTTCCTTGTCAAGTCGACTCACAGTGAGAGTGTTTGACTCAGGCAAACAGGCTCCCTCAACCAGTACATCTGCCAAGAGCACATTGCTGGAGAGCTTGCCATGTAAATCCAGCAAAACAAACAGTTGAAAAGCAGCTCCAAACACGCCAGGCCCCCTTGGCAGATAGAGCATCACTGGCCTAGAAATGTCTCCACTAAAACAGCATCTGTGTATGTGTCGTGTCTGCTAGAAACAGACAACATATGCTTCCCCCTCTGGAAAACATTACTTTTTGGCCAAAAGCTATAGCTTTGCATGAGACATCTGACTACTATTATGCTCAGATGTCACAAAAATTAAATCTACACTATGAAAAACGATCTATCTATCTATCTATCTATCTATCTATCTATCTATCTATCTATCTATCTATCTATCTATCTATCTATCTATCTATCTATCTATCACATTTTAACCACTGTATATACAGTAGAAAACAAACAAAATAAATAACTCAAAATCTGGCACAATGTAATCACTTTATACAAATGTCTTTTTAATAAATATATCAAATGTATTTCAATTTATACATACTTTACACAGTGATCTTCATTCTTCAATTAAACAAAATCTACTAGAATATAGTATTGTCAAAAAAGTGGTTCAACATAAATTTGTTTTTATTTTTTGGGGGGATGGTGACCATGTTATATTTTGCCTGGAGTGCCAGAATCACCAGATTTTAGGATTCTCTCACCTTCATAATTCCAGTTTAACCCTGCACAAGGCATACAACAACATGAACAAGTGGACAACAGTTATGTGTATTGCGTTCAAAGGTTCTGGATAGTGATCCCACTTTCACTGTTGAATGCTTGCTTACTATGTGTGTAAAATATATATATATATATATATATATATATATATATATATATATATATATATATATATATATATGTGTGTGTGTGTGTGTGTATATATATATATATGGTCACCGTGATTTTGCCAAGTAAGACATGTTCCTGGATCAACAAATTTTGGCTGTGAACAAATTTTGTTGATCCTGGATAAACATTCCTGTCCCAAAATGTAGTCCTTACCCAATCCCTACCCCTAAAGCCAACCCTACCCATAACTTTTCCCTAAAATCAGAGGGTAATGATAGGTGAATAACACTGATGTTTAAGTACTTCACCCTGGTTCTAAGCCTAAACTGTAAACTTGTCCCTCAAATCTGATTGGTTGATTGGAAAGTTGATCCAGGATCAACAAAGATGTTGATCCAGCAACATGTGGTACTTGGTGAAATCACGTTCACCCTATCGGTCTATCTATCTATCTATCTATCTATCTATCTATCTATCTATCTATCTATCTATCTATCTATCTATCTATCTGTGTGTATGTGTGTGTGTGTGTGTGTGTTTAATTCATGCAAAGAGCATGCACCAAAATTCATAACCGGACACATATACAAATTGAATTGCCACTTCAACCCTTACATTAGACTGCATTCAAAATCAAATCATTTCAGCACAAGTGCATGTCAGCTTATAGAAGGACATTTCAGTTACCTTAAACCTGTTTCTCCTCCAGGGTGCAGGGTATTATTCCAGATGACTGCTGTCTGTCAGTAGTGAACACTACTGTAACTGTTCATCTGGGAAAGGATCGTCCGAGGCTTTGCTTCGTTTGCAGAAATGCAGCGTCCACTGACTGAACAGCTAGCCTTTATTATCTATCTGAACGGATGGTTGTCACAGCATCATTTGTTGCGCCTGTAATTCCGTATATTCCTTGCGAAATGCCGCGTGTATGGTGTGAGAGACAATATAACACATCCGAGCTCGCAAATTAATGTGTAGTATTAGCCAGATTCGGTGTAGTGTGCAGGCTGTGAAGAGCGCTTACGGTCCCTCAGGAGGAAGCAACAGCCTGTGAGATGATGATGATGATGATGCTCGCTGCACGCGCGGCGCGAAGAGGGTCAGGAAACGAACCCACACCTTTACAGACGTTAAACGAGAGGAAAGCGTCAGCCAATGAGCGTGCGTCATGTTTCACATGACCACCGGCCAGAGAATATATGACAAAGAAAAAAAAGTGACAGCATTCACATGCAACTTGGCTTTATCTTGACTTTAGGAGACGTGCATGGTGAGTTTATAAATGGTCAAGTAATTAGGGAACATGATATCTTTTTTTTTTAAGTTAATATGACGTATAGCGAAAAGGTTCAAGTTGACTACATAAAGAAAAGGTTAAACAGACTGCAAAGCATTTGGTTGGTTATAGCCAGAGGTGTAAAGTCCAGGTTCAGAAAGTAAAAGTCCTCCTCAGTATTTTGTTCCAATCACCTGAATTTGCTAATTAATTTTTCAGCCAGGCGATAGAACTAATTAGTTAAATCAGCTAGCTGAGTTCATGGGTGGAATAAACATATGGCAGGACTTTTACTTTCTGACCCCTGGACTTTACACCTCTGTATAGGCTGGAATCAATCAATCCATCCATCTATCTATCCCAAAATAACCACTAGGCAAAATGGTGGCAACTATAAACAAATAATAGTCTAATAATATATCCAAGACAAATTAACCACTTTTTATATAATAAGACAGTAGACTTTAACAGGCTTTTTTTTCATGTATCAGTGCTGTTGCAAGAAACTAAGCAGATGAACCACTTGTTTGAAATACAATGCTGGTCTACTGACCTATTAATTGCACATTTCATATTGCACAAGACTGGACCAAATAAACACATCAGTAAATGAACATTCAACTAATTATGAGAATAATCAAACCCCACTCACAATTATTATTATTATTATTATTATTTTAACTTTACCTTTAAGTATCATAACTTGTCAATCTGTTTTTGGCAAGCAAAAGGTATTAAAAAATACCTTCTGTTTACAAACATGTTCCAGTATGAGGGAAGATTAATGACGTTTGCAGACTTAAACGAAGACACGATCACCCTCATACAGTATATGCACAAAAACTCCATCAAGCTCTACCTCTAGTATGTGCATGCACACACATTTATATGTGCTCACACACACAGCAGGGTGCCACATCACTGACAGATTTAATTATGACAGCTGGCAGGGATCTGTTGCATAAATTAGAATACGAGCAGAAGGGATCTGTGACAAAGCTGACTGAGCCTACTGAACTCATCTGTGTCAATGCATTTAAAGCAGGAAATGTGCTTTAGTGCAAAGCTACCATACTTGTCATTTGACATCTTTCTAATTAAATATTACACACGACATGGGAATGCCATTCCCTCCTCTCTCACTGCTACACTGTCTTTAGATGTGAAGGAATGATTACATAAAAATGTCACCTCGATAAGCATGAGATGTTTTTGTTGTTGTTGCTGCAATGCCATTTTCCCGCCACTGATCTTTTATCAAGTATATTTTGTATCAGTGATAATGTTCCGTTTTTAAAAATCCATCCAAATCCATCTTTATCTGTTATTAAATGAATAAAATTAGGTGTCTGAATCTAGCATTATATGCCATTATCTCACTAATGAAAGGCCAATAAACCTGCCTTACAGAAGCCCTTGTTTCTTTCCCTTGCTTTGATGCCTGGGAGGCACATAATTCATGTCCTTCTTATATTTTCATGATCCGTAAGAGCAGTGAGGCTCGCAGCTCCATGCGGAAAACTGAGAGAACTCCCTGTAGAACAGGAGGCTGACTTTTCCCATACATCTGCCTTATTTATTCATATTATCCAGTCGTTTTCTTTCTCAGCTACACCTCCTCCCACTTAAGCAGTTTGTCAATTAATACACTCCGCAGGAGTGAGATGAAGCGACAGCGTGGTGACGAATCATCTAACTACAAAAGGCAGGAAGCCTATTCCAAGACAGTCTAAATATTTAGAATGTGATCCCTCTTAAACTGTGTTTCAGCAGATTGATGAAATTCTAGCCAGTGTAGCGCACCTCTAAAGAGTGCTTCAGGACAGCAGTATCAGAACAACGAGAGGCGGGGTGGTCAGAGAAGAAGAGATATTCTGGAGCACAAAGAGATCAACGCTCTTGCTGTGCTGCTATGTGCCTCCTGCCTGGACAAGGAGACGCAATGCCAACTCCATGTGATGCCTGGTAAGAGTTGGCACCGTGACAATTCAGCTGAATCTAAGGTCAGTTGAAGGCAAGCTTTTAAAAATGACACACCACCTATAAATCACATCCATATATGACCCCTACAGCTTACATTATTTCAATTACCTGCTATCTACCTTATTTTTCAAGTATAGGAGAGGGCGAGGCCATTTGTAATTCCTGTCATCTGCTTCCAGATATTTTTAGCTGTAGGCCTACAAATCAGCTAGTTGTACTGCAAACTGGTATTTCTTACAATAATATTTTACTGTATTGTATAGGTTTACCTATTTTCTTCTCATTATTTCCCTATAGCGGCTAATGAATCGTAAGTCTCGCACATTCGCTTTGAAAATACTAAAGGTGTAGTATATAGAAAATACATCACTAAGGTGAATACTAAATGGCACATTTCCAACATAGTAAAAATTAAACAATATTTGCAACACATTTTACTTCTGCTTCTGAAATCAGACAAAACAGGACTTGATTAGCAGAAGTTTAGGTCAATTCCTTGATTTAATGTAATGTTTCTGATTTCATTTAAACTTTTTTTCATTTCGATTGGGACGTCATTAAAAATCATGATGATATTTCAGGACAAGTTGATGCAGGACAAAACTGTGGGAAATATTAAATTACGCACCAGAATGAAGTGACGCGGCAAGTGGAAGTAAGGGCAAGGTCACACTACAGGAGGACTATGAGACATGAATCACCATGGTGCTCACACTACACAAGTTTTCATCTGTCGTCTTCTTGCCTTAGTAGTGCTCATACTACACAACACAAGAGATATATCTAACTTCAGAACCGCAGAACCACACGTCACATCAGTCTGAGGACAGCAGGACCAGGCCAGAAGCATCAGATCGGTAGTTAGGATCGCGTATCCCGCCACAACCACTACCCCTACCCTTCACTATAACTATAAGCTCTACCTTAACGAGACCTCTGGCCCTTACAAAAACAAATCGCTTCATTTCAGAAGCCCTTAATTAACCCCCTGGAGCCATATGGATTACTTTTATGATGGATGAATGCACTTTTTTGGGCTTCAAATCTATCATTCACTCCCATTATAAAGCTTGGAAGAGGATATGGAAGAGGATATAAAAGCCAGGATATTTTTTTAATTTAACTAAAGATTGGCTGAAATAAGAAAGTCATATACACCAAGAATGGCTTAAGGTTGAGTAAATTATGGGATAATTTTAATTTTTGAATGCACTATTCCTTTAATGAGCACAGTTTTGGCCAAGAGCCGGGGGTTTTGTTGCAGACCTTGGAAATCTGTTTGCGACAGCAAAAAGTCCTGTAGTGAGAGCCTGCCTTAAGTGTGCTCTGTGACATCAGCCCAAAAGAAAAGTGGACTCGATTCTGTGGCGGATAAAATTATTACATTTTGATACAATAATACCGGAATCATGTATTAAGAAAGTATATAGTAAATTCAGATTCCATGTTTGTTATTTTCGAATGGTGATTCATAATGGAGATGGAAATATTCAAATGCAGACAGGCCATTAGTAGTTTTACGGTGCTTTTAATAAATATATTTGCACACTCTGAATTCAAGCAGTTATATTAGCCACCCCTCAGTTTGCAGATTGAAGTTGTGCCAAATGCAGAATGATGCTATAGCAGTAAGAGAAGCATCATCATTTTGGTCTTGCATGCTCAAATGCCCACCTCTGAAGCATCATTACACATCCTCAGTATCAAGCGTCATCAACTGGCTACATAAAAAGCAGTCCAGCAATCTCTCTTACTGCATCTCATTCAAATATATTTCATACTTTTCAGCACTGTGTCATTACATTATAAATGTATTAGTACAAACTTAACACTGCAGGCCTATCGATAAAATACACACAATTCTCAGTCATGTTTATGTTTCAAAGGTCCACTACAGCCAGGGATGGATATAATGAGACCTTGTGATCTGCGTCTGTCAGCAGGAACCCCAAACTGAGCCCCATCCATGCCCGCACACAAAAGGGAATTCAATTCATTATATGAATGCATCGTACGAGTGCATGGGAAGACCTCCATTCCGTGCTCATCTTTGCTCAAGTGTGACACAGAAGACAGGAGGAGAGGATGGAGGTAGGGGGTGCGTGCCTGCTTGCCAGTTGGCAGATTGAGTCCATGCTTTTGTTTATTTGAGAATCTTGTGGTAAGGATAGAGATTGAGGGTGGAAGTAAAGGCCTGGATGTCAGTGATGGTAGTGGCTGAGGCCAGTAAAGTGGAAGCAGGAAGGAAGGTGAGTTTGGAAACCTCCCCATACAATGACATCTTACTGCCCTCCCCCTCTCCAGTGGCCGGATGCTCCGTACTAGGAGGGTCGTTTTCTTCTACTCCATAACCAACAACCTGAAAAGACAATAAAACTGAAACACCTGGGGCATAAACGTTGCGTACGTAGATTCACTGAATAGATGAATCTCAAGCGAGCGGTATGCGGGTAAACTTACATGGACACTGAGCTTCCTGTTGCCTTGACCCCGATGTTCCATGAACCAGTTCACCAGTTCAGCCTTGGTCATAAGTTTCAGTGCATCAATCTGTTGTACAAGTTAAAAAAAAAAGTCCAAGTATATTCCCAGAATTCATCATTAACACATTGCTGAGCTGTCAGACTTTGCTCATGTGCAACAGGGCTCCTCACCTCTCGGCTGAGTCTGTCGAAGATGTATTGCTGCGTGACCACCTCTGTCCAGTTCCTGTCCACCTCCTCGCCGAGATGGGTGTCTTCGCAACCCTTCAGCTTGACGAGAGCAGTCACCTGTGTCTTAAAGGCCTCATCACTCAAGCTGTTCATCTTCTCTCCAAAGCTCACCAGAAACTCCTCAATCTTTGTCTCCACCAGCTCAGTGCTGGAGTGCAGGAAGCAGAAAAGAGTCAGTTTCA